CTGGACGTAAAGACTGTGCACATCTATGAACTAGAATCAGGTTGAGCACAATACACATTCAAAACTAAGACAATCAGGTGAATCCTGGTAGTCCTAATACCCTAGAGGACTGATCAAAAGTGATTTTTGTTTGCCCTCAAGTTCAGACCTGAGAACCACATATTGGGCTGAAATTTGGGACCTTCTGACCTGGTGTCTCCACTGCTTCCTATTAAGCACTGTTCGTTTCCAGCTACAAACATCTTCTAGCAGAGATATTTTCTGAAATATCAGAAAATAGTTCCATGTATCAGGCTGCTCTAGCATTGCTTATTTTGTAAATCATGTCTCACAGCATGATCCTGGCCATCAGCTAAGAGAATTTGTTTTTCTGCTTGCTAGAAGCACTGGGAGGTAGGGAAAAATCCTCTCAATGGAACAGTTGTTTTTTATCTGCCTTCAAACTTTACTAGTGTCTTGCAGTTTGACTTGCAGATTTCTCTGGCTGACTTGAGTGTAATACTTAGGCTGAATGATAGATAACTTATTTCTGCAAGCTTCTGTGCAGTGTGGAATTTACTGACGATTCATGGGTCCTTCCTAAAGCTGGTAATTGCTGCTTGTTTAACTTGTGGTTGATTTGCACCCTCTTGGGAAAGCTAACATCCCTGAAAATGACAGGGCAGAAGCTTTAGTTTTGATGATTCGCTTTTCATTTTCCAAGTTTTGTAGGTTTAATTTATGACTGTTGACTAGACTACCAGAGCATTGGTCTTCATGGGGTGGTGTGTGTGACTCCAAAGGCATGCATCTGGGTATGAGTTTTTAACTATTCAGCTGTAATGTAAGACAAACTCTTCTTTTTTAAGTTAAAAAAGGGGAGTGTTGCAGAAATTTTCTGAGTGCTTACACTGGGAAGTTAAGCCAACCAGCAGCCATTGCAATAGATTGTATTGGAAAAGAAGAAATGTTAGGTACATTCCTGCTCATCACTGCGTGCTATAGTAAATTTGATTGGTTTAGGTTTGAAGATCGTTAATGAAGAGAGGAGTTGCTTCCAAAAATGGAGTGTGCTCTTCTGGACACAATAGCCAAAAGTGTAGGAAACATTTTTAACTAACACTCCATGTGCACACCTGGTAAATGGTTTGATTATTGTTATCGAGCCTCTGGCTTTTGTAGCTGGACTGTGCACTAATCTGACAGATACCAGTGTTCACAAATTACCTAAATTAAGTCTGGGTCACGCATCTCATCTCCTGTTTCTTGTTTGCTTTAAATGATTCCAAAAGTACTGCTAACAGCTGGAATCCCTGCTGAGGCCAGCTTGATCTGCTCTGGAGCTGCTCCAGCCATTGCTCTGATAAAGCTTCATATCATTTCAACAGTCTCTAGGAGGACCAGAATGATTTCCCTTCATTGTTTAAGGTTTCATTCAAATATTCGCTGTGCCAGGAAAAAGGATATTTCACTTCTGCTTTTCTTCTTTTGCTACTGCTACTAGAAACTTTTTTCTCTTTGCTTTTCTGAAAGTTAAGCTATAGTGTGGCCCATGCTTTAGGATTCTGTGGGAATTGTTCCACTTAATCTCCAGGGATGGAGTGTTGCAGTTGCAAAAGGTGCACACTGTAAATAAATAAATTATGCATCAATGCTGGAGACAAAGCACATGTTCTAAGAGAACATATTATGTGGGGGAGGCCAGGGGAAACTCTGGCCTTTTGCCTAGATTTCCATAGTAAATAAAGCACCTAAATCCCTTTCAGGGTCTGCAGTTCAGTAGCTTTTTGTTTGTGGCGTTAAAAACAGTAGTAATATTGGACTAATTTTTAGGCAGTTCAGTAATCTTGGAGTAATGTCTACTCTCCAAAGAGAGACTTAAGGCCACCATAATTTTGTGTTGTACATTGACTTAAAATGAGGTACTGTTGGCCAGTGAGGTTGCATTCCTGTCATGCATCATCCCCTGGTGTGGTGAGCAGGGCTGTGCTGAGCTGGCACTGCAGGTGACCATGCCCCTGTGCCACATCCAGCTCCAGCACTGCCCTCCTCCCTGCCCCTCTCCTTGGTGCTCTTAGCTCTCACGGTGGGTTGGGTTTACAGGGAAAGGTTTTGGTAGCTGAGAGCCCATCAGGGTTTTTTTGTGAGAAGGTGCCAGAAGCTTCTGTGTCTGACAGAGCCAATGCCAGCTGGCTACAAGGTGGACCCACTGCTGGCCTAGTAGAGAACTTGGGAGTGAAGTTGAGCTTGGGAGGAAGGGAGGGATGGGGGGAAGGTGTCTTAAGGTTTGGTTTTATTTCTCACTATCTTACTCTGATTTGATTGGCAATAAATTAAATTAGTTTCCCCAGCCTGCAACAGGTACTGGTGGGTGATCTCTTCCTAGCCTTATGAACCCTTTTATTACACTTTCCCCTGCTCAGTTGAGGAGTGGAGTGATTGAGGGGCTTCAGGGGCACCAGGGTCATGCTTCCCAGTGTGTGAAGATCCTGTTTTACACAAGGTTGCTATTTTAATTGTTAGACCTGATGCAGCTCACGGCATGTGGGATGGGTGAAGGTGCCCCTGCATGAGGTGCTGTGCTAGTAACTGGGATGGGGAATGCACAAGCTGGGTTATCCCCTCCAGTGAGGGCCCAGCTTCCTCAGACCATTATTAGATTGCAGATACAGCTGACTTGTGGTTTCCACCAGACTTATGCCCTTAACATGTTTCGAGCACTGAGCTGTAGACCAGCCCTTACTGCTGTTATCAGGCTGATAGTGAAATGTAGTGCAGCTCTGGAGCCATTTGTTACAGCAGAATGACAACAGAGCAGACAGGATCTACAGCAAGGCATCTACCTGACTGCTAGGTGTATGGAAGAGGGCTTATTACTTGGAATTAAAAGTATTTGCTTTTGTTTAGCATAATGTCCTGACCCTGCAGGCCACTAGTCTGTCGGCACCTTTGGCCTGAGGTGTGGAGAGCGGGCCCTGGGGCCTTACTGCTGCCTGCAGGTGCTCTTCTAGTGCTTGTTGTGTGGAGGAAAGTTAATTCATACGTGGCTGACTCCTGTGGATAGGTTTTGTTCTTGGTAGCAGAGGTTTTGAGGATCCACTGTGCTGGCTGGCAGTAGCTTCTGTGCTGGTGTTTGTTGGCACAGTGAAATTTCCTTGTTGATGAAACCAGCATGTGCTGTACGGTACCTGGTCATGTCCCATGAGAACAGCATGCCTTTCACATGTGCTTGGAAGAAGAAAACAGGAATTCTGGGGTTCCTAGATAAAAATTTCTTAGAAAAGCCTATACTGTCAATCTCCAACTATTGATTACATTATAAATTGTGCATATCAGATCATTGGAGCAGGTCATGCAAAAGGTGTACAATCATATCCTCATTCTGTGGCACAGGCGTGTAAAATACTGTTATATGTGAAGTTAGGGTTTTATTGTCTGAAAGGATGGAAAAGTAGGTGGGTAAAAAACTGATTGGATGACTGGATTGAAGGGTCGTGGTCCATCAGACCTCCAATAGCTGGAGGCTGCTACGAAATGGGGCACCACAAGGATCTGTCATGGGACCTGTTGTGTTAAACACACATCTTTATTTATCAGTAACCTGAAACAGATGGCAGAGTGCGCTCTTCAGCTGTGCAGAAGACACCAAACTGAGAGGGACCAGTTGATGCCCTTGGGGGCAAGGCTGCCACTCAAAGGAAACCAGATAGGCTGGGGAGACAGGCCATCAGGAGTCTTATGAAATTAAATGTGGGCAAATCTGACTCCTGCCCTGGGAAGGAGGAGCCCCTTGCAGAGGTACAGGCTGGGGGCTGCCAGAAGCTCTGCTCCCCAGGGGAACCTGGGAACCCCCAGCCCATCCTGGTGGACAGTGAGCTGAACTTTAGCATGTGGTGTGCTCCATGCACAAGTTGTTTATGGTAGCACCGCACACAGATTGAGGAGTGATAATTGCAGAACCCACATCTGAACACTATCTGCAGTTTTCCAGCTGAACTTAGTCCATCATTTCCCATTACTCTTGCTGCTAATTACTGGCAAGCAATCTGGAGATGTCAGAGAGTAGGAACAAGACCTCTATTGCAACAGCTTTAGGGGTGATCAGTATCACTGCCAAGTAGCCCCAATAGTGATGAGTGACTGAGACACTGAGTGAAAGATCTAGTACCCTACCAGCAGTCTCACCTGATCTTGCCTGCATTCTGCCTAGGCTGCTAATTAAGTCAACCAAGTTTAATATGTTTTTACTGTAAAAACCTTTTAAGACCTGTTGATTGCCGTGTGGTTTGGAGTAATTCATATTAGGCTTATCTTATCATTCAAGACGAAATTTAAACCATGAATTAAGTGATTGTATCAGCAAGTCTGAAGATGATCAAAGAGAGAAATGCTCTGAAAGCTATTTGGTTAGTTTGGCTCAGTCCATGAAAGCAAACATGCACTGCCCTGTGCAAACACAGCACAAAGGAGCTGCAGCTTTTTGCACACTTTGCTCTATGGAGTTTTACCAACACCTCCTGGGGACCACTCACTTTGAGTTGCACACGGGGGTGTACATGACAATGACTGGAAGATATGAATAGAGGAGGATGGTGGTAGTAAAGCACGACATCCTGGGATGCTTTCTACTTTCATTATGACTGGAAAATCTGCTTTGCAATGACTGCTTATCTGTAGAAACCCAAGCAAATTTCAGCTGAAACTGCCTCAAAGTCACGTAGCTTATAACAAGCTTGTACCATGCATACTAGTGCTCTAGTTTCACTTTTTTTCCCTTTTATTTTAGTGTATATGTTGTGAATTATAAGGGTATTTATTTTCCAGTTTTGAATTTCACACTGGCTGAGCTGTCCTGTGAAAAATACTTGTGCAAAAATACCTTCAGGTGATGTCTGCTCTAGGTTTTGGATTGATAATCTGAAAAGTAGTGAGCCAAACTGGTGGTGGGAGGATGCTTAGCAAATTAAAACTCAAGGTTGTTATCTTGTAGAATTAATTATTTTACAATCTGTATGTTTCAGGCTATGGTTGCTTGCTATCCTGGAAATGGAACTGGGTACGTTCGTCACGTGGACAATCCAAATGGTGACGGGCGCTGCATCACCTGTATTTATTACCTGAACAAGAACTGGGACTCCAAGGTGAGTAAGCCATGGGGTTGAGACACAACAGGAAGAAAAAGCTACTTCAGAAGCAGAGCTCTGGAGCTGTCTGTTGTTTCTGTGAACTCTGATGAACTTCTGAGCCGCTGGTCCATTCTTCATCTCTTCTTCTTTTTTTTTTTTTTCTGTCTGTTTTTGGCAATGCTTTGGAAGTAAGGATGTGAACCGCTTCCTTATCGTCCTCTCTCTCATTCTGCACACATACTGTTGCTATAGGATAAAGCTGTAAGCACTGGCCTGTATGCTCTTAACACTTTGTTTAGAGGAAGCAGCAGAAAAAGAAAATCAATTCACTACAGAATAAGTGGATTGTGGGAGCAGAGTAAAATGACAGCCCAAATTTGTGACTTTATCATTCTTGATACTTCAGGCTAACCTGCAGAAGATATTCAGGCAGTTCCCTTTTCTTATTTATGAAGCAGTGGGGCTTAGGAAGAGGAACAAACATGGTTTGATTCCACCAGTGGGTCTCTTGACTGGATAGAACTCTTGTTCCTGCCTATATTACTATAAAGCAGTTAAGTCACCCCTGAATGGGCCATACTATTAAATTAGAAACAAAAGAGGAGTTTGTAAAATTGCAGAATGTCTCTTTTCAAGTCTGTTTTCTGTTGTAATGCCCCACAAATGTTCATGAGGGTTATCACTTGAAAATTGTGCAATGTTGTTTGCTTCTCTAACCTCTTTTTAAGCCAATATGCTCTTTAAGAACAGGTAAATACTATGAACCCTAATAAGCGAGTTCAGATACAGAGACAATGTGATTGAAAAATGCAGTGTTGCAGAAAAGCACATCTTGTTACAGAGAGTATGACAGTGAAACATCTCAATGTAATACAATGAAGGAGGAGATGTGGGAGGAAATGCAAATATCCAGTTTATTTTGTGCATTGCACCCTTACCCAAATAGTGGGGAGGCACCCAAGTGAGCACCAAGAAAAGCTAACTGAAATTCAGGGCACTGATGGAGTTTATTATGTAGATGTGGTGGTGATTTTATGTAAGTGTATGCTGGAGGACATGCTATATAAGAGTATAATAGTACTGGGCTTTGAAAAGAGCCATATGCTTTAAACCTGGCTTAGCAGTTTCTCACTGAGGTCTGCATGTGACGTGGAGGTACCACGTCAGGTTGGTGCTGCACTGCACTCTGTGATGCAGCATTAAAGTCTCCAAAGAGCACTCTAACAGCAGCAGGATGAGGCAGGGTTCATCTTCATCTTTTGAAGTTTCTGGAGTGTGTGCAGATCACCAGACCTTTTTCCTGAAAATCGTGGCACGTGGAAAGACAGGAATTGTATGGTAGAGAAACGAGGCTGTGTTATGAGTAGGGAAAATGGTGGCTGGGATCTATAATGCATTTGAGAAGTTTTACAAATCTAACAATAAAACAGACTTCACTCTTCCTGAGGTGTAGAATTTAACTCCTAAGTGATCAGGCACGTTGTCTGAAATACTGTGAGCAGTATCTAAGAAGAGTTGAGCAGAGAGCATGATCTCAGACTGGTCAGGTAGAGCAGCTTGTGGTATTCACTGGTTCTAGAAATGTGACTGGAAGCTCAGAAGTTTCCCAGTGTTTGCTGCAGGGCTAGTGTTACCTTTATCTTGGTTCATTTGCTTTAGACAGAAGCTTAAGCTGAAACATTACAGACTGGTAAAACAAAGTGGCCAAGAGACACAGTAAGGTTTTCCAGTGTTGTCACGTAGGTGTCACATTTATCATTAGATGTTTATTCCCCATTTGTTAGGTGTGGAGGAGAGAGAAATAAGTTATTTTTCATGTGAATGTGTGGCTGTTTATATGTGCAAAAAACCAATCTTTCCTTTTCTTTCAGCTGCATGGTGGAATTCTTCGAATATTCCCGGAAGGAAAGTCCTATGTAGCAGATGTTGAGCCGATTTTTGACCGATTACTTTTTTTTTGGTCAGATCGAAGGAACCCACATGAAGTCCAGCCTTCTTATGCAACCAGGTAAGTAGCATATTTAATATTGGTTTTTGGCTAGGAAAAACCCCAGAGCATCTCTTCTACCAGTATTTTAATCCAAAATTATGGCCATCATGTTTAAATACATGTGCATAAAAAATAGACAGATGTTGAGTGAATTTCCTGGTTTTGAGTCATTGGGAATTCTCTCATTAAGTAAGGAGGAGCAAGCTCGAATGATACATTTCCTCATGTGTTGGAAAAAAAGGCCCTTAACCATTAACAGGAGAAATCTTCCAAGCTGGGCATAGCTATTTAGCTGGGAGGTGCTGGGTTATTCTTTTGCCCTTGTAGCACTATAGGGATTGTTGGGGCTACCATCTGTCAGCAGCCTGTGAAAAGCTGATGTGACGCAGGGCAGCCCCCAAGCTGCCTACAGGCCTCTCAGAACAGAAAAACATGCAAAGGTCTGGAAGCTACTTTTGCCCTCTGTTACCAGGGGCCGTGCTCTCTTTTGTGCCTCCAGCAGAAATTCTCACCTATATTTCTATCTGACTTGTTAAAATATGCACTAAAATGCTGTCTGTGTTTGACTCTAAAGATGTGTCACTTTCATTCTACTTTTTTAGTCTACTAATCCAGTTTTGTTTTTGCTTTCTCCATGAGCATAAAAGTGCAGTGCTGTATTTTAATATCAAAAGTGGAAAGACATGCAAGATTTCTTTCTTTTATAGATATGCCATGACCGTGTGGTATTTTGATGCCGAAGAAAGAGCAGAAGCCAAAAAGAAGTTCAGGAACTTAACTGGTATGATTTTTTTATAAATGTTCACTAGAAAGAATTTAATGCATTTTGGTATTTCCAGAGTCAGAGATAGACCAGAAGTGGTTCTGTAGCTACAAGCATATGTCATGCATATTTAGGAAGCTTTTTCTCCTGTTATTGCTAGTCAGTTATTTTATGCAGGTGGAGAAGTTGTGACAGGAGATCAGGCCTGGCCCTAGAATCCCTGATGAACAAAATGGGGAGAATGGGAGAGACAGTTTCTGATTTGTGTCCCAAATGACTGACATTTTTTTCCTACCCTAGGTGGCTACTCCAACCACAGGGAGTCAGCTCTTCTTTTGTTATTTGGGAGGTATATTTTGCCTCCTCCAAACCCTGTTTAGTACTCTGTTTGGACTTTGACAGACAGTTTAATAATTGTGTTCTCTAAATGTTCTGAATGAATAGGGTCTCCTGTATTAGTGAAGGGCAGAAGCCCACAAAGGGGTGACCCAGCTTTCTAAAGGCTGCCACCCTGCACTGCTGCAGTAATGGCATTTGAGTCACAGACTGAGTTGTCCAGGTGTGTTCCAACACCCTACCTCTGACCATGATCTAAGGGTTGCTGTTCAGAGCAGTTTAAGATCTGGTCTTCAGGGGCTGCCTCCTCAAAAAACAGTGTGGAGAGCACTTGTCCTTTTAAAAATATGTGCAGCTGGGCAAAGTTGTAATTAGTCAAATGATTTTCAGAAGAGACTGTTGTCATCTCTCTAGCTTGTATGGAAAGCAAATACTGCTTTCACCCTTAAAGAGGATCATGAAAAAGGGGCCAAGAGGCTGTGGGGGAAAAGTATTACTGATCTAGGGTCTCCGAGTTTATTGGGTTACTTAAATATTGCATGCATAATCTTCAATTTGAACAGGAAAAATGTATAAGATCTTTGTGTGACTGTCCTTGTTAACATGCTGTGGTATCATGTAGCAGTTCAATCCACATAGTGGATTCATGGCATGATTCTGAAATGTGAAGTATTGTCCATTGAAAATAAATCAGTTTTTTTCTGTTTCTGAGTTTTCAGATGAATACAGTCAGAACCCCCTGGTTTAACCACTTCTTGTCTTTTTTTTCTTTTTGATGTAGATGCGAGGAAGAGAGAAGCACCTCTTAATGAAGACTAATCAACTGCTCATGAACTCTTTGTGAGGAAATAAGATCCCAAAGATGACTTCCATTTCCAGCAAATAAGGGCAAAACATTTTTATGCACAAGTATGCACCGGTGGTGTCTAGCACGTGCATCTTATGCTGATGGTACTTAAGGCAGCCTCCTGTCATGCTGCATCTGGTAGAAGAAAGACTTGTTTGCTCTTTGCTTTTTGCTGGAAAAAATAACCAGGGTTAAAAAAAAAAAAGAGTATGTGATACTCAAGCCTAGTGGTAGTGGCTCAGCCAATTGGCTTTTGATCACTCTTGTAACTAAGATAATGGTCATTGGAACTAGTGGTAAAAAACTGAGTCTTATTTGCACTTTATGGGGAAAAAAGTTCTAGTTAAATGGGAAGAAGCCTTGCAAGTTTAAAATCAGTTGGCAGACTGCTGACAGGCACAGAGAGATATTTGACAGGAGAAATTAAATTGGATGTTTGTAGAGCATTTTACAGTCTGTCCCAAATGGACCTGTTGATGTATTGTTCATCATTTTGCTGTGCAGAACATTGGTTCAGCTCTTCAGAAACATGATTTCCCAGATGTTTGTCTACACAGTTGTTGCATTTTCTGGATTTTGTTTGCTCTTCAAGAGGCACATTCTAGCTCTGTAGCTGTACTGCCCTTTCTGTCCCAGGACAGAGGGGAAAGTAGTTATGCATCTGTTCACACTTCATAAAACCATTATTTTTTCTGTTTTGCGCAGGATGGGTTGTATGTGTTCTATTTTCACAGTTTGGTAAAGCAGCTGTTTTCTCCCAAAAATCTGGTAAACTTGAAAGGCTTATGGCACACAATGCATTGGCCCTTAAGACCAGTGATATGTAAAGAAGTATTTGCTTTGTGACTTCTCCATCTGCTGTGTTCTGTGTGACATAGATATGAATCTGAAAGGGAAAGATATGTCTGGCAGTCTGACAAATATATGATAAATAATGGGTAACTTAGACCTGGTTTTTACGCTACATATTCTTAGTGAACACACTTGTTTAATTTTGCATGCATATGTAATTTGAATGAAACTGCAATTCTGTTTCAATTGATCTGTGATGGCAGGTAACTACTGCTGCTGTGCCCAGGCTGTGAGATCAGAGTTATTCAATGGCAAAGCACACATTTTTTCCCTCCATTATTTTTTTAAACTTATTAGACTCAGTGAGTAACTGGTCTACTGTCTAAACTTCTACAACCAGCACTTACTATGCAGTTCAGAATAGCTCTTAATGAAGCTGGGATCTGGCAGTGGATGTATTTATCACTCACACTAATTGTTCTCAGCCTAATACACTCACTTGCATTCATTTTTATCTCGTGCTGTCAGTGTGTATGTCAGACCCTATTAAATGTTCCAAATAGATGCCCCCTTCAGTGTCCCATATTTTCCTGTGCCACCTGCCCATGCTGGGGAAGGTGGTGTGTCTGAACCTCTGGCCCCTGCATGGCTTCCCCACACTCTGCTGCATTGTTGTGCTGTGATGGGCTGCACTTGAGCTAGGGAATGGAAAAGTTGTGTGCAATGGCAGTTATTAAATGTCAGTGACAGGTAACAGCTGCATAGGACAGAAGTAACTTTTATGACTTAAAAAATGATAATAGAAAATGGAGTATTTTTTAAAGCTGTTTTGTGTCTTAAAGAAAAGCTGAGCATCCTTCAGCCTGCCCATGAATGCTGAATGTAAATACAGCAGTGCTAATTCTCTCTGGCTTCTCCCAGAGATCCAGCTAAGGTTGTATAGGCCTGAGCACTGTGCACCCCAAAAGAGGAGTATGAGGGAACATGTGTGACTAATATCTTTACCACTAGAAAACGACGAAGAACATGATAAATGTTCTTTAATGTTAAGAAAAACATTATTCTACTACAGTTGATTCTAAGTAATACCAGAGACTTGAAGGAAACTTAGCGATAACTTGAAATTCTCATTCTAAAATGTTCATGTGGGAGGGGAAAGAGTTTGGGTCTTGCTTGAGAGAGGTTATCCTTTGAAATGTGAGAGGTGTTGGAGAAGACAGCATTACTATTTACAGACGGTGATGGAATACACCTATTCAAAGTTAATAACAGCACATAAATTTGAAACTCTTACATGATTTAAAAGGAGGAGAATCAGAGCAGAGGAAATACTGCTTTGCCTCTAGAAACTGTAACCTTAAAAATGAACTAGAAAGCATTGTTAGTACACATCTCACTGGAGCCTGGAACAGTGGGAAAACAATGTGGTGGAAGGGGAAAAGCTTTGTGTAAGGGCTGAAAAGGGAAGGTACTTCAGTTATCACTGTTGCTACCACCAGGTTTCTACAGTGGTCAGCAACGTGTGGTGAATGGAGCATGGAGCAGTATGGTTGCATTTATTGTAAATAAATACATATTTTATTTTTTTGTGAAGATCTTCCTCATCTATATTACATACATAGAAGACAGAGCAAATTATTCTGTGGCAGGGTGTGTTGTCTTTATTAACACTTGTAATCAAGTGCAAAAACAGTTGAGGGCTTGAGAGCTTGAAACCAATTCCTCAGTCCTCCATTTCAGGTCTCTACTCTGTTTTCAGTGGGATGATCTCCTTGAAGAAGCTGTAGTTTAATTGGGGGTGGGGTGTAGGGGGGTGTTGGTCATGTGTGACATACACATAGAGAGGGTATTTCAGAGAGGCCTTTTCCTTGTGTTCTGTCTTCATACAAACTGTTTGAATCAAATGGCTAAACAGCACTTGTCAGCCAGTTGTGAAAAGGAATGCTTTCTCTAAGGTATTTAACTTTGAATCCTCCAAAAATTCTGGTTGGTATTTTTTTTTAATCTTTAGGTAATGTGCCTTCGTTGTTCATATCTGTGAAGATGTTTCATGCTGCACAGGCATGTCATGTCATGCAAGTTTTTGATGGCTCTAAAAAACGTGGTTGCCTTTTCAATTGCGTGGGAAAAATGTGCAGAGCCACTAAGCTGCAATTTTCAACAGGAGGTTTTTGTTGTGCAGGGAGGAAAAAAGGCCAGGAGACAGTGCTGAAAATCAAGAGACTGTTTTTATTCTTAAACCTGTGAGCACTGGCCTTTTGAGCAAACTAGCCTCTAATAAATCTTTTTCTCTAGATTACTTCTGGTTCTATGAAGAATGACTTCTACAAAATAGTGTCTAAAAAGTTCCACTCTTTTTTCCCCTTCTATTTTTAAACAGTTTTAGTCCTGTGTGTTTTCTAAAATGCTGGAATATATTATTTGTATTTCTTGTTGCAAAATAGCTGGCTCTAACACCACTTGCATCTAGAAGAAAATGTGTCTATTTGCAGGCAAATGACTAGTTCTACTTTGACTGTGATGTACTCCCAGCAGATATCTGAGAGTGAGTTATGACTACATCTTCTCTTGTCAGGTTGTATGCTGGTCAACAATGCTGGCACTTTGCATTGGATTCATGTAGAAACCCCTAGTAGTGTTTTACCACACATCACATTTTGTGTTCCTGTTACTATTAAAAAAAAGTCGCGGGAGTCAATAAACACTGGGTCGTGTTAAACACTGTCCTGTGCAAATCTCTCAGTCTTGTGTCTTGCTGTGGCCAGGGATGCGAGGGGTGGGTGCAGTGCCATGCAGCTGCATGTAAGGTGACACTGAAATCTGTATCCACGACTGTCTTCTGCTGATGGAGAGCCCTTTTCTGTTGCCCTGGGCTTGGCACATTCCCTTGGTCACTTCCTGCTATTTTGAAGTTATTTACCTTGCTAGTGACCCTCTTCTTGAAATGCCCATTTGTTTTCACGCTCCTGTTGAACCAGATAACATTCTCACGATTCAATTGTTGTCTGATAAGTTTTATTTTTAACAGTGTTCACATCCTCCCCCTGCTACTTTTCCAGTCTGAATCCCACAGTTTTCTCCTGTGGCTGTGTGGGAGACTTCTCCTCACTCCCACTAGCAGTGCAGTTGAATGAAAGCCAAGGTATTTTCACTCATTTGGTAGAGCTGTGAACTTTCTGATTCCTTTACAATCTTATGAAGAGTGAGAACTTCCTTTTCCTATTTAAAACATCCTTTCTATCATGGAGGGCTTGGATTTGACTTGTGGGGTTTTTTTGTTAGAGAGGGAAGAGATGTCTAAATAATTTGCCATTGATTTAAGCATTTCTTTTGGACTGAGGAGTTCTTAGAGCATAGGGAGAAGACCTATGGAAAGCAGAGGGGTTTCTCTTCTGAGCATGCTCCTCAATGAGTAAAGGTTTCTAGGGACAGCTTGAGAAGAAGCTGGCTGTTGGCCATCCAGCTGCCAAGGACTTTGAACTCTGACTAAACTTTCTCTAAGCAAATATGTTTGCAGTAATTGTTATCTTACAGCTATTTAGGGGTTTCTTTCCTCCCCCACCTACCCAAAGGGATATGGCTAAATATATTTGCACTGACAATTCTCATGACTCCCGAGAATGCATCTGATATTGGAGGTTGCACTGAAAATTGCAAAGGAGCATGACAGTGGAAGAGAGGTTAGTAAAACTTGATTCCCCTTTCCCACATAATGTTGTCTCCATGGAGTACTTCTGCTTCAGAGAGTTCATTAAAACTCCCATAATCTTCCACAAGGCATAGATAGAGTTTTTTATCTGTCTTGCAGAAAGCAGGGATAATTTCATCTGCATGTGTGCTTATTTTAAACAAAGCTGGAGATGCTAATAAACCGCACTGGGTCAATGGCAGTCACCAGCATTTCTTCCATGGTGGCAAACAGAGTCAGTGCTGGTAAGAAGCATGGAAAGAAAGACCCTGTAGTCCAAACTAGTGGAGCTCTGAAAAAAATCACTTGTGGGTACATGGGTTCACAGCTCCCTGAGCAGAGGGAGCAGAGCATCCTCTTCAGGATGGGTTATCCCTTCCCTGGCAGAGGATGTTGAGTTGTTAAAGTGGATGGGAGGCAATGGTTACTGTCACTGTGCCCTCTTGCTGAACCAAGAAGTTGATTTTCTTCCTAAAAGGGACTTGGCATTCTTCTGCAGCACCCAGAGGTTGTCTGTCAGGGACACGGTGCTGATCCACCTTGTGCCTGGGAAAGGTCTGGTTAGGATGTAGTCTTGGGGGGTTGATGTGGCATGCAGCGCCAGCAGGTTCCTTTTAATTTTTTAAACACTGTATTTCATGGCAGCTTTGACACCTGTCCCACCATACGGTGGTTCAGTGGATGGCCTGTGCTCCTGACTGTGATACATGGTAACATAACACCCC